GAGAGAGAGAGAGAGAGAGAGAGAGAGAGAGAGAGAGAGAGAGAGAGAGAGAGAGAGAGAGAGAGAGAGAGAGAGAGAGAGAGAGAGAGCTTACTCCACGGTTGGTATGATACACAACATCAACAGCCTCTTGTGGAGTGACGTATTCCCACAGGCCATCCGATGCAAAAATGATGAATTGATCTTGCGGGGAGAGAAGCCGCATGGTGACCTCTGGCTCTGCTGTAATGACCGGTGGATAGAACGGCTCCGGGACACGGAACCGTGGGAACAATGGCTCCTGATTGAACTCTCGTGCCTTTAGATAGCAATCTCCAAAAGCGCGAGTGACCTGCAAGATAGTGAATGCACAAAGTCATCCTTAAGTTCAGGATCAAACTGACGGCCTCATATTGTCACCATGCAATTAGAGTGCTACCGTCTTGTACCCAACTCTCCCCCACATCCTGCCCTGTCCCGTTTACAGGACAGGCATGTTTCTACACTTACATTACAAGCGAAAAGGAGAAACTGACGGCAGACTCGGCAGCGGCAGTTTAATGTTCTGAGTAGCTGGAAGTTATTTCAATGTGGGTCCCACGTTGAACCTTTCAACACCCGTTAAAAGCGTGGGGAAACTGCGTTGAACCCCCCATTTATTGCGGTTCACCGTGGCCCGGAAATATTTTTTCCCGCAGGCAAAAAATGAGCAAAAACAAAAACAAAAGTTATAGGGTTGTAGACTAGTGCAAGGAAAATGAGCAATAGCGAGATGACAATAACAAAATGCACAATCACATTGAAGACCAGATAGTATCACAGTGTCCAGAGAGTAGCATTGCACCAATATAACACCAATGAAGAATCGTAACACTGAAAACCAATGTCAATGAGAGCTTGCTCTCGCCACCACCAACATGAGTATCCAGGCCCTATCTCCCTACTTGGCGCTCGCCGCCCAGCCTACTCCCTACACAGCTACTACTACCCTACTAATTGACAATGCAACTGTTGACGTCAGCAGCCAACGAAGTACTTGAAGATGTCGCCCGTAGCAGACCACCGCCAATACCAGGTATGTGCTCTCACATCATCATCATCATCATCCTTCTCTCTCTCCCTTGTCTGACACCCACGTCTTCCCTCTTCAAACCCAAAGACCACCTCTGCAACTCACTGTACATCCAAGCCCTATGGAGGCTGGGCTATGGCGCTGCCCTCAGCAGCGCCCTGCTTCCACACACGACCGCACGTGCGCAGCACCTTGGTCCAGCGTTAGCAGCCGGCACGCGAGCATGAGCTCCAGCAGCGCTGCCGCCAGCCAGCAAATGTCCGAATCCCCCTGACTGTGGGGAGCTCTTTCCTATATGGAAAGAGCCTCCTGCCTTCGCAGCCCTGGCTGGACGGCCTGGGCCAAGAAGCTTCCGGTAGGCCCCAGGATACTGCGCCTCAGGTGTAGCTACTGGGCCTCATTCGGTTGGGCCTCCCAACTGTCTGTGTATGAGGCTGCGAATCTCGCCCAGGGCCTGTGCTTTTGGAAAGGCCTAGAAGGCCTGGGAAATTTCCACGCTGCTCGGCCTGTGTTTTCCTTCAACCAACTGGCGCGACGAAACTGCCTGGACCCCAAATACGAAATTGACAGCCGAGAGCCTCTCGTGATTTGTTAGGCCCGCCTTCACTTAGGGCGGGCACAGATGCAACAGGGGGCCCCTTAGGCCTGCCGAGGATCCGAAATCCTTGCATTCCCTCCTCCTGTACTTCGATAGTCCCCTGAGAAGTCTTCTATTCTGCAGGCATCTTCCCTTTGAGATCTCTTTCGTAGCCTGCAATGACTTGAGGTGCAGTTCTCAGAAGTTTTTCTCTGGTGAACCACCGATCTTCGCTGGTATCCAGATGATGTCTGAATCTGACCCGATATTTTTTGGCTTAGGAGGGCGGCCTCTGCCCGGTGGTCGAGGAACAGGCATCACACGATGCTCCACGATCTGGATGTCCACTTCGCCATCCATGGTTGAGGGCAGCATTGACCGTCTGGAAGGGAACTGCTCAGACTCTGCGAAAGGTGCCAGCTTTGAGGTGTGGAAAACAGGATGCGTGCGTAGGTGTGGTGGGATGCGAATCACATAGGAGGGTCCGTCTATCTGATCTCCCACTATGTCTAGGACCTCCCACGGACCGAAGCACTGTGGCATTAGTTTTCTAGAGATTCCAACTTCCTGTCCCAGTTCAGACGACTTGACCCAGACTCTGTCTCCTATCTGAAAATTAGATGGCCGTCTGTGTTTGTTCTCAGATGCTATCATAGCATCTTGAGACTTTCTAATGTGTTCAACGGCCTGTTGCGTCATCTGTTCGTATCTGACAGCAAACTCTATGCTGCCTGGTGCTGCAGTTGCCTGATTTTCAGGTAGTAGGAAATCAAGGGCGGATCTGGGCTTCCAACCAAGATGCAGTTGGTTTGGAGTCTTGCCGGTAGAGCTGTGCACAGCGTTGTTGTACAGGCTGGTGACGAGTGGTAGCTTCTCGTCCCAGTCATCCTGGCTTGGCTTGATGTAATGCCGCAGCAAGTGCTGTACGACTCGGTTCATTTGCTCCGCCTGTCCATTTGATTCAGGGTGGTTCCCTGATGTCATTTGTAGTCTGGTTCGCATCTGCTGGGCTGTATTTTGCCACAGTTCGCTAGTGAAACGGACATCCCTATCACTGACGATAGATTTGGGTAAGCCAAAGTCCCGTACCCAGTTATCCATAAATAGTTTGATGACGTAGTAAGTCTTAGCAGTTTCTGGCATAACCATCAGTCTGGCATATTTGGAAAAACGATCTACTATAACAAAGATGTGCCTTTTCCCTGACCTGCTGGTCACAAGAGTATCCATGAAGTCCATGGACACACTCTGACCACGACCCTCAGGAATCGGCAAGGGCTTGATGAGCCCGAGCGGAGCCTGAGTCCTAGGTTTGTCCCGTTGGCAAACCTGGCAGGTTTCAACGTATCTCTTGGCATTTTGCATCATAGTTGGCCACCAGAATCTTTGTACTACGTTAGCTGATGTTTTCCTATAGCCAAAATGTCCAATTGCATCGTGACACTCACCTGAAAATAAACTACGTAAAGACTCACTACTGGGAACACACAGTCTTTTGTTCCCTGCCTTCTCAAAAAACAGCAAGCCGTCAACCATCGTAAATTCATCTGAAGTCACTTTGTCCTTTGCTTGAAATTTACGAATGATCTCAGACATAACTGGATCTTGTTGATAGGCTTCCACCACTGATCGAGTTAGGTCGTCAGATATGCCAAACTCGGTTACTAAGGCCCCCAGATAATCTGCCCTACGCGATAGCGCATCAGCCACGTTGTTGTACTCTCCCTTGATAGGATCAAGTTGATAGTCATACATGTCTATCACTTGTATCCATCTCTTGAGTGCGTCTGAGAGTACCGGCTGTGTTTTGATCCAGCGCAAGGTCTCATGGTCAAATCTTACATAGAAAAATCTGCCAAGGAGATAGTGTCTCCAGTGGACCAGCGCTCGGTATCGGGCACAGGGCTCACACTCATAAGTAGACCTAACTAGTTTATGAGATGGCATCTTTTTACTCATATACTCAATCGGTCTCAACTTTGGCCCCTCCTTTTGCACAAGGACCGCACCTATGCCATATTGGCTGGCGTCAGACAAAGAGCTTATCTGGATCGGGAAGTTTGAGGACTTCATAGTGTGTCAGAGCATACTTCAGTTTCCTGAAGGCCGCCTCACACTCTTCAGTCCACTCCCAAGGGGTGTCAAGTCGAGTTAGATCTGTTAATGGGGAAGCTATAGTACTATAGTTCTTAACAAACGGACGATAGTAGCCCGTCATCCCCAAAAACGATCCGACCTCAGTAACAGTCTGAGGCCTGGGCCAGTCACGTATGCTGGCAACCTTAGCATCGTCCGACCTCAACCCATCTGCAGAGATTTCATGACCCAAGTACAAGATCTTGGTGTGACCGAACTCGCATTTCTCCAAGTTAATCTTGTACTGGTGTTGTCTTAGGAGACCTAGCACTATTTTCCAGTGCTCAGCGTGCTCCTCTACATTCCTACTAAAGATAAGAATATCGTCGAGGTACACGACGATAAACTTGTCTAAGTACTCATGAAATATCTTATTCATGGTGTGCTTGAATGTCCCAGGGGCATTGCATAGGCGGACATCACCACAAACTCGTACAGACCGTACCTGGCCTGACAGGCGGTTTTGTGTTGATCCTCAGGTCTATGGCAATTTGATGGTATCTGGACTTTAAATCTATCTTAGTAAAGTACCGGCATCCCTGCACTTTGCCCAAAAGGTCGTCGATGCGGGGTAGGGGCTCTGCGTTCTTTACTGTGATGGCATTGAGGCCCCTATAATCAATGCACATCCTTAAGGTACCCCCCTTCTTAGGGACAAATAAGACTGGTGCACCGTAAGGGGAGGTACTAGGCCGAATCCATCCCTTTTCTGTGAGCTCCTTGAGCTGGCGGCAGAGCCCATCCAACTACGCAGGAGACATCCTATAGATGCGTCCTCTAGGTACCTTACTACCTGGGACAACCTCTATTGCATGGACCACCTCCCTTTTTACCACGCCTGTGGGCTCCTCAAAAAGGTCGGAATATTGCGCGACGACTGATTCTATCTCTGGGGGTGTTTTAACGGCCTCCCCTTTTTCAGAGACAAAGATTAGATACATGCCCTCCTCGCGATTCTGCTTATAATAGTTATAGAAAGAGGAGGCACACATGCAGCCGTAGTTTTCCACTAGACTGCTAGCTTTATACTTCTGCAGTCTAACGGTTCTACCATTTGGGAACTTGTGTATCAACACCTTCCTATCCCAATCAAACTGAGGTTGAGCAACCTCGAGGTAGTACGTGCCTAGTAGCATATCGAAAGGCAGTTCGTCGCTAACGAGGAATAAGATTTTATGTCTCACTTCCCCTCCTCCATAAAAGAAGGTACAGACTACGTCTTTGACATAGTCTTTGACAATCATTTGGTGCTTGTTGGACAGCGTAGAAGCTACAGTTCTGCTAAGCCGCTGCACTTGGTCCCCTAAGCGCAGTCTATCCACACAAGCACGACTGATGAAGTTTCATGTAGAACCTATGTCTGCGAAGGCGCCTACTTTGCGGCCACCTACATCAACCTCTACCACAAAATGTTCACCCTTTGGACCTCTACTGATCATCGCCCAAGAGTCTCTAGGGTCCTTCCCCAACCACTCAGTCTCTAACTCTTCTAGGGCCTCAGACACATCTCTCGAATAGAGTGTCGGTGGGTCTGAATGTGTCTACGGGGCGATACGTGGGTCACTAC